ATTCGATTGTGCATGTAACCAGTATATATTTAGTAATATTGTCAGCAATGTGATAAAACGTACCACCGATACTGTCCATTGCTTGTGAATCAATAATACATGAGAGTACCCGTATAACATCGGATAAACTATCATAACGCTTGAGGCTATCAATAATGTATGGTTTCAAGGATCGAGATTGACAAATACAATCCAAAAGGGTCTGAGTATTGAGTGGTTCATCAACGATGGTGTTGAAGTCAGCATCGAGCACATTCGTAGTTGGTGCTACACATAGAGATTCAAATAATTTAGTCAGAAGGTCTGAAGCTTCATTATTCAGTTCATTTGAAACTGTCGAGGTATCGATGGCATGTCGAGCCTGCAGCATATTCTCAATATCCAGTCGAATAACTTCCCGTTTGCAACTTTCCCATTTACAACGAGTTTTTGTACCAGTACGAACTAATTAAGACATTATAATTCTTTTTAATTTCAAAAATGAAATTCTTTTACTGAGATGATAACACTGATCTTGAACGCATTTTCGAACAGAACTGATCGTGGTAACTTTCATCTAAATAATCGACGGTATGTTTGTAATAATTATAGCATTTTCCGTACCTTTTCTTCGATTTTCTTCGAAATTTCGGTTCTGTCTACTGTTAGTAGTTGTTGAGCGCTTTGTTCTATGTCTCTATTAGAACAAAAGACACTAATATAATGCTTTTAAAAAACTAAGTCGTTACGATTTCTGTCGCAGATTTTTTCTTGCGCTAATAAATGTTACTCGGTGCTTCAACGTAGGAATAAGCTCTTTAATCATAGCTTCGTCGAAGCCATCATTCATTAAAGTGCTGCCATCCACTTCGTTTTCTATCAGAACGTAAAATGATAAAATGAGTATTATGTTGGGTGTACAAATGCATAATACCTTCAAAAGCAGACGCAAACTGCTCGAGATTGCAGGTTTGAAGCCATAATGTTACATGAGATACGGTCCAGGTGACAGGATCATGAGGAATTGTTTCTGTTGATAGAACAATATTCCAAAGAGATTTTAAAATAAATGCGGAAACTTCGGATTTAAATCCGAGAGTTATGTGTACTTCAAAAAGTGAATCATACAAATCAATCATCCTAGACTGTCTGAATATCAAAATTATACTGTGAAATCTACCATTTAAAATGTTGATTTCTATTGCGCGTTGCCAAACCAATAGGGCATGGGACCGAATACAGCTCAAGTCTGAACTTTTTCCCTTGATTTACCCTAAGAAAGTCGTTTTTCGTATAACTTCATTTCCATTGGTCACTGCACAACTAATAGTATTTCGATGGAAGTGCAGTACACATTCGAGTTCTCCATATCTGAAAACCTCGAAGTATCATCAGTGTGACCGGAAGATAAAGCTCTATTTGTGGATCCATTAGATCGTAGACCAAAATATAACCTAGTTCTCTTTAATTATCCTTGTCATAGGTAAGTCAACCTTCTTGTTTCTTTATGTTTTATATATCATTTTGTAGTTCGTGAAATTCTCTATCGAATGGTATATAATAGTTGGGGTTTTAATTGACTATGATAGGAAAAGTCTTTTACGAAAGTCGCGATGGGTCCATTTTTCCATAGAAAGCTGTAGGGAAAAATGGGTATTTTTGCAATAACTCAGGAACGGCTCGGCCGGTCCTTCTCATCTTCGAACTCGACCAAGATATTGTGAAGATTAAGCTGTGTAGAAAGTTTCATCGCAATCTGACTCTGCTGTCAAAAGTTATCATGTAAACAGCCAACCGGACGGACGGACACACTGACTATTCTATAGTGTACTCACTTTTTGAGTACACAAAACTATGATTCGGTTCAAAACTAATATCAGATTCAGAATCAGCGTTAAAAACTGAGTCGATTTATGTATTTTGTGAATAATTATGAGCAAAAAATTTTTTTTTCGAAAAATCCCCGTACCCCCCCTCAGGGATGGTCTGGTCAAAAATCACAATTTTTTCGATAACTCAGCCATTTCTTGACGGATCCTTCTCATCTTCGAACTCGACCGAGATATTGTAAAGACTGAACTGTGTAGCAAATTTCATCGTGATCGGACTCTCCTTTCGAAAGTTATCGTGTTAACGGCCGGACGGACGGACGGCCGGACATACTGACCGATTCTAGTAGTGTACTCACTTTTTGAGTACACTAAAAAATGATACTTTCGATTTTTTTGATTGTACTGAAGGTTTTGATTACATTGATTATTTGATTAGATTGCTGTTTTTGATTTACAGTTGACACAAAAAATAGAAAAACAAACAGCGTTTACTATTATTTTTTTCGTCAAAAAGTCAGTTTAATCAAATAAAATTTGGTTTCAGTTCTCTCTTCTCATATCATAAACCTATTGGTTCATTTTTTCTCTATGATAATAAAATTTTGATATCGAAATTGAATATATTAGCATGTGAACGCACCGATGGGGATTTTCTTGGTATAGAGACGCGTAATCCAAAGAAAGAAAAAAGACATATAGGTGAGAAAAATAGTGAAAAAACCCAACACGTGTAATTATGAGTGTATTCTTACGAAATCCACTACCTATCTAATGAAAATGTTACGCTTAATTGATGCAAATAATGAGACATGAGTTGGAAAAAACTAAGCAAATTCGTTATTGATAAATGCATAGCAAAGACAGTTGCGAAACACATAAAATATAATTCATACATTTCAGTATCATTTGGGATATGTGAGTATTCTTTATTCTCAATTTATTCAAGAAACATTTCATGAGATAATCAAGCAACTTTTAGCAGCGTCTTACTCGTTTTGAAAGATTTTGTCTTTCTCTTTTATTATTGCATTGTAAATTTTAAATAAATTGTCTTCTCTTGATGGCCACGTTAAGAAAAGCTCAAAAATTTTCAAATTGCTATTAGTCGCTAATTCATTTTATAATTTGTAGAATATATTTGACTTTCAGAAAATAGAATTTGTTTTTGATTTTCTAAAAAGAACTATTTTCAAACGAATTGGAAGATGGAAAATAACTTTTAACGGGATGTGAGTGTGCGCGTGTGGATGTGGGTGAGTTTGCCCATGTGTTGGGTGTGGCTGTGGTTTTAGGTGTAGGTTATTGTAAGCCTTCTCTTGACTCACACTCACACATCCATACTCATGCAAACCTACACCCACATCTCTTCTATGATGAACAAGGAATATGTTGCATTCTTTTTTTAATAATTATACAAATCGCTGTGTCTATTGTACAGACTCAATTGGAATATCATTAATGCAATTCAAACATTGTCGCAGACGATGAAATAGAGTGAATTCGACGTTAACGTCTGTATCGAGCTGTTTCTCTCTGTCTAAATAACGCTTCAACTACACAACTTTTCGTTTTATGGAGAAGATCAAACACTTTTTTGCTGTCAATATATTGCTAGTAGTGCATTGATAGTACGCGTGGTGTTCAGCTTGGTTGAAAATAGCATTACTGTTTTGAATATTGTTATTTTTACATAAATTTCTTTTCTCATTATAAAAAGCTTCGGTGATGAACATGTTGTACAGCCACATTATGCACCACTGTAAGAACAGCTACATAGTCTTTTGTGAATGTGAATATTTCGTACTGATTGATGAATAGTGCGACAATGACAATGTATTAAAATGTTTACAACTACTAGCTCTCGTATCAAATATAGCTTTTAATATTGTACCCGAAGTCAATAAATCAACGATTTCATGAAGGAAGAAAACTTTTATGATTCAATGAAAAAACAAACACAACAATTATACAGACAAAAGTTTAGAACGACTGAATAAGGAAAATAGTACGTGATTGTAAAAAAGAGAACTTATTGTTGCGTCAGACTTTGCTATTTTATGTCAGAAACTACAGCGCCTCAGATGTTCTTGTTAGAAGAAATTAATATGGAAATATTTTGGCAGACTTTTGTAATATATATTATTCAGTGTTATCCAACCCATTGTCCAGAGAATGTTCACTGAGTTTATTGATTCTCTTGCCAAGCCATAGTTTAAGTAAATATCGGCTTGATTGGTAACTAAATTCTCTTCCTTCTTGGCTGAGCCATTTTATCATTTCGGATTTACAATCCTGTCTAATTAATGACAAATCAAATGTGACACTCCATAAATGACTGATTTCTAAGAGAATTGTTTTCATATCCTGAACACCACTCACAGGAATTTGTAAATGTTGCACATAACAAGGTACTATAGAACAGATATTTTGCATATCTAGAAGCTGATTGATAATGATCAGAGATCGAATATTAGGCATGTGTTGTAGTAAAGCACCAATGTTGAGTGTCATGTTTGAAATCGAATCAAGATTCGACTGGAGATCCAATACGAGCTCTTTGAGAATTGATAAATTCGCTAATCTAGAGAGAAATTCAAGTGAACCATTTGGCCAATCACCGTTGACTTTAAGTGTAAGTTTCTGAAGTTTCTCAAACAAACGTTGACTTGACATTGTGCTCTACACAGAAAAAAAAATGTGTGACATATAGAATATGCAAAGAAGCAAAAAGAGAATAGAATTATTTCTAGATAGTTTATCGGCCATAGATAGTAAGATACAGACACATAATCAGTATTTTGTTTGATCGCTTTCATTATAAAACAACATGTTGTATTTGAGTACAGAAATAATGCTCGTTTCTGTTGCTACTGCGCTACTAGCCAGAAATAGCACACAAGATGATATATCTTACGTTTTAGATGAAACCCTAGTCATTACGTGGAGCATGTTGAGATTAGAAAAAACCTAGAAAAATTTTATCTCATGCATTGCTATTTGGAAGCTTTGACTGTGACACTGAATTTTTTGACGAATTTTGGTCTAAAAGCATGCCCATAATCTGCTCTAGAAGTCATTAGAATCTCTTAAACACTCCAATCCACAGTTTTGTGTAGATTTTATATCTCCAAGAGAGATCATTATGTTTAGCAGAATTCGTTAGGAAATTCTAATAACTTCAAAAGCTGTCTATAGATACAGTTGTAGACCAAAATTTGTTTGTTCATTCTTTTTTATTCGAACCTGTTCGATAGCATCATGAGCCATCATTTCTGATAAATTTATGCGTAATTGACGAATATTATCCATTTTTTTCGAATCACAATCCAATGCTGGAGCAGTGGAACATGAAATCTTATACGATTTTGGATAGTAATCGACTTTTGACGCACACACTGGAATTGAATGAAGGTTAACAACTAAGCATTGTCTAATATCAACACAAGTAACATGCCAATGTTTGGTTTCAAGCCAGAATGGAGTACGAAATGGTGCAATGAGAGACTCTAAATCATCAGAATCAAGACTGACATCGACATTTTTATGAATCATAAATTCGAATCTGTCTAAAGCCGGTAGTTTTGCCTTTATAAACTGTTCCCAATGAGAACCATTGAAAAGCGCTGTTCCATGACCTATCAATTTCAGATGGACTAAAGAAGGTGTTAACGACAGAAGAAGTTTAATCATTTCCATGTCTGTTTGAATGTCTTCCAATGTAAGTGAAGTCACTTGCGGATACCTTGTACCATTCGAAACAATACTTTCGAGTTGAGTAAGATTACTAATAATGCAATCTCTTATACTGATGGTTTTGAGATGAGATGAACAATGAAGAATCGTACAAAGTTGTTCAATATCGACATTGGCAAATAGTCTTAGATGTTGAAATGAACATTCGACAGGCCACACTAGATCATTGATCATATTCTCTTTCATAGTTAAATCAAGTTTCCGAAGGCTACGTCGTCCAATAACTGATGAAAGTAAATGAACTATTTCAGTGCTATAAAATGAATTTTCATCAAATGTAATCGATAGAGAAATAAGAGAATTAAGTGTAGTCATATGCTCTAAAATAGTCTTCAAATCGACTTCTGTGATTAGAATAAGAGTTATTGTTTGAAGTCGAGTATAATCTTGGATACGAAAAAGAGAAAAAAATAATCTTATTTGACCAGGCGTTTTATTACCATCAGAAAGAATGAGTGAGATGACATTGTCCGGACGAATAGCACGGCAAACCATATAAAATTTATGTTGAGAGATAAATTTCAATTGTAACTTGTACTTTTGATAAGTATTGGCAACCGCATATAATCGTTTACATACACATTGTATTGAAAATACAATAGTTTCAGTGTCAAGATTATCAAAAATACGATAGAGAATTTCCGTAGGTATCATGTCTATAGATATTTGGAGGTTAGAAGCCATTTATTTTTCTTGATGAGATTGCTCTATGTAATGGTGAGAGATTGATTGTATGCCGATGCAAATGCGTGATGAAATTGTGTTTCTTTTTCTGACGTATGTAGGAAGAATAAAAAAAGAGATGTTTTTCGATTGCACCTGACACATGTCGATAAACACAAGTGTTGCAGCAAACACATGAATATTGCAAACTGACTCATCGATGCACTAGAAAAAAAGCAAAAGTTGATTCACTATATTCTCATGTTGTTCAAATTGTTCGAAAACAACTGATTGACTACAGTTTTCTTGCTTATTTTGTTTTACATCTTGGTGCATGAATATATTTTAAATCTTAGAAAAATGTTCTATTACAGTCAGAATCATGTTCTCTTGTTACTATCAGCGCGTTCATGTTGCTTAGCTTTCGTGTTTGATTTTTTTGTTAAAGGTGGCGCTATTTGGTACACTATGCTGTGGCATATTAAAGTCGACTTCTTCAAGACTGAAAAAATTAATTTAAGACACCAATTATAAAAAATAACTTAACAGAGAAGGAGTAAGCTGTTCGGATCATCGTGATTATGAAGCATTGATAACATGAGTTGAACATTACATGAATGAAATGCAATGAGTGATCTTCCCTGCTGTTGGTTACCAATAAAAGTCGGCTTGTCATTCAATACTCGTACTTACATTTTAGCAAAATTTACAATTTAGATTTTAGTAGATGCTAACAACACATAGTTATACAATCTGAAGAATATCACCTCTATCCTTCCAGTTGATTACTACATCTGTAATTCTTTTTTTTTGAAGACAAGAATAATTATTCAAACATCAGACAACCTTATAGATGAATATGAAAACAATAACGCAGTAGCTAGTAAGCGAAACTTAATGGCAAAAAAATTAACTTTTACCTAATTTGCTCCGAGCGAATCTTGTTTTATTAATTAGAAGTGCTGCACTAATGTGCAACTCATGATGCACTGTCAAGTAATGCAATACAAATAAAGTAATTGATGTGTATAAACGAAGAGAAAAAGACTCCTACGAGGAAAAATGCATTTTTAGTGATAAAAAACGCATCCAAACGCAAGTTTTTTTTTTCATGGGTTTCATAAGACATATCATCTCTAACCTACAACAACATAACCTATTAGTTACTAAACTTTGTATCCTTTGGATTTCAACAATAAATATCAACACTATCTGAATAATGCTTAAGCAAATAGCCGATACGAAAACATTGATATTTTGACAATAATAAAAAAGCGTTATACAAAGATTATTCGAAATTCAAGTGGTATTCGAAGAGACAAAAATCATGTTCAACTGTGTTTTTATGCTATTAAGCATTTGGCTCATTGTAATCAATACATGTACTGGAATATCTAGTCCTATTCAACCATTTACTACTTATAAGCATTCAACGACATTACAACAAGATATAGCTGATCTTTGGTGGACAGTAGATGATGCTGAACAGGAGATTATGTTTGAATTACACATTAAAAGTACAGGTTGGATTGCATTGGGTATCAGTCCAGGTAAGAATTCAAATAACAAATTCTAGATTTAATCGTATTTATTACTCTATTTAGCTGGTGGTATGAAAGGTGCTGATATTGCTGTTGGATGGGTTGACTCTTCTGGCAACGTTTTTCTTCAAGTATTAACAAATATTTTTCTTTTGTTGAGATTAAATCAATCGCTTTATATATATTTTTTTTCTTAGGATCGATATGCAACAAGTAATACAAGGCCAGTGCTCGATAATACAACACAAGATTGGTTTCTTCTTCAAGGCCGTGAAAAAGATGGATGGACAGCTATTCAATTTAAACGTTTGCTAGACACTTGTGATTTAATGGACTTACCAATAAAAGTTAAAAAAAACTTTGTTTTCTATTAGTACATCAATAATATTAGGTTTTATTTTAAAGTCTGGTACCAATACTCTTATTTTCGCTTATGGTCTTGTTGATCTCGATCCAAATCGACCAGAAATTGATATTACATATCACAACACTCGTCGAAATACACGAATTCTTCCACTTCGTTCTTATGCTGATCCACCTTCAGATGATAAATTCATTGGACTTGATACATTCGAGTTTCGTTTGAATAACGTTAGTATATCTTACTGTAATTTTCTTTTATATTTATTGTTTTTTGCCAGTATCTTGTACCGTCAACTGACACTACCTATCATTGTAAGATATACAAAGCGCCAAGTGGATATCCATTGAAACGTCATGCAATTGCTGTATGTTTTGTTTTATTATTGCTATTTACTTAGAAAATACAAAAAAATAGTGGCGAAGATACTTAAATTCCTTACAAAAAGGTTAAAGAATGAATATGTAAAAAGTAACTATAGAAATAAGTACACTCTAAAAAAAGACTTTATACCGAACCATTTTAAGTTTGGCAGTAGCTGCGAAAACATTCAAGTTTAAAATGAAGCCTAATAGATTTCGCGTTAGACTCTAAAGACTTCATATTGAACTTAGACGATTTCATATTTTTGATGTTGAACTCTGTTTTGTCCTACGGCTCTCAAAACTGTTTCATAGTTAAAGACTCAGTTTTTAAAACGATTCCTTTTTAGAGAGTGTTTATACTTCGTCTTCCATCTCTTGTTTTTAAGCTTTTTATACGAAATCAAAGTACCCTCGTCACTATTTGTGGTATGCACTAAGCATTATTCTATGTAGCATAAAATATTAATCGATCCACGAAATGTTGATCTTGTTCATCATTTGGACTTGTATGAATGTGATCCTATGGCTATGTTCAATGATGATAAATTACCGGATGGCTTATGTGATGAAATAGCCAATGAAATAAAATTATGTGCAGCAAATATGGCTACTGTATGGGCTGTTGGTGGTGATGTTGTAAGTTCGAAAGAAGTGATGATTGTTGGTCAAACATTTTATTTAGCTGAGAGAATTTCCTGAGGAAGCTGGTTATGGTATTGGAGGAGATTATGAAACAAAATATTATATGATTCAAATGCATTATGATAATCCACGATTAGATTTAAGTAAGATGAATAGAAACGTTTTAGGTTTTTCTTTTCAATTTTAACCTTTTCAATGTTTTAGATCGTCGTGATAGTACAGGAATTCGATTTTATCTTGGCAATGAACTTCGAAAATATGATCTAGGGTTTTTAACAGTAGGCACTGGGTCTAGTCCAACTGCTCTAGCTATACCACCAAGAGTTGAACGATTCGTAATCAATTCTTATTGTCCTTCTGAAGCTACTCGCGTATGTATTCTTAAATTCAAACTTAAAATTATATTTCTTTTTTTGTAATAGAATATTCCTAAATCGGGTATTAATGTTGTTTTTGCATTACCACATACACATCTACAAGGTTTGTTGATTATCTGATGATTTTCATTCACTCATCTTTATATAGGAATAAGTGTATGGACAAAACTAATTCGAAATAAAACAGCAATTCAATATGTATTTAATAGTGAACAATATGATTTTAATTATCAATATCAAAGTCGATTACCAAAATCAATCAAACTCTATCCGGTTAGAAAGTGCATATATATATATCTTATTTTTTATTAGATTTATCTTTTGATAATAGGGAGATTCCTTTGCTACGCAATGTGTTTATAATACAATGAATAAAAATAAAACTACTGTAGTAAGTTAATGAATTATTAGTTTTTTTTTTAATTACGAATTATTTAATAAATATTCTAAGGGTGGTGAAAGTACAAGAGATGAAATGTGCTTACATATGTTTACTTATTATCCTCGTATGAATGATTTATACGGATGTGTAACATTTAATGATAATTCAGCATGGAAAGATATTATGAATACATCTTCGTTAGTATTAGCTAATATCTAATAAAACATCAGATTCGTTTTCTTTTTGTATAGATCAGTTAATGATGAACAATTAAAGAAATGGCTTTTAAGTCGAACATGGACATCTGAATCGATTATTCAATGGCAAAATTTTTATGATAGAGCTTCCAAAGTTGTTATGTATGGTAGATCGGGACATTTTAATTCTCAGATTCTTCCGATTTTACCGACATATAAAGATCTTAAACATGAAACATGTAATCGTCAATGATCATTCTGTTAGCATTCATAAGTCCACAAGAAATCCAATTTATCCTGTTTTATTCTTATGCTTACATAGCTTTTGAAAGCTGTAAGAGTATTGAGACCATTTTAGTCCTTTTGAATGTGCGTGTGAATAGTTGTCAGAGTTGTAACCAGTCATGTTCGGTCGATCTATACCGGTTGGAAAATATTTTATAGATATGATATTATTGTTGAGAACAAATTTATTTACTCCTATTAATATAATGAAGATATTGTTCGAAGAGAAATGTTACGTTTTGTCTAAACAGTCTGAATGAGAAATTTCAGAATTGAGAAATCTAGCAATAGATATAAACGACTATAACATGATATTTCTTTCTGAAGATTTATAAAAATCTAACTGCGAAAAGAAAACTGAATGTTTTTTGAAGCCATCCCAATGAACCATTAATAATACTCGAAGAAACCAACCGAATCAGACCAGTTAAAAAAAACATCAATCGGTTACAACTCTGGTAAGTGTTGATGAAGGAAATACACTACTCATCCACGCGTACGCATATCCAAAAGTATTAAAAAAACCTAAAAGGTGAAAACTATGAAAGTTATAGTAGTTTGAAAAGTATAAAAGTAAAACGGGATATATTTGATTTCTTGTGGACTGCTCAACAGCCGATTTTTTGTTGTATTCATTTATCTCATATCTAAAGAGAATAATAAAAAGAAGAAATCATATTGCACATAATTGATGAGATGTATAATAGAATTGATAATACTTTTTTCTATTTTATACAAATATCTTTTTTGCATGAAATGTAACTTAACAACAAAAATTTTATCGCTACTTAATAAATTAAACATATCGTATTGAACAAGTAGGTAAGAGATCAAAAGCTACTGCAAACGAATAATGTCAATTAATATCATTATTTGCTCATTGATATAATTTTATTCATTAACATCTAGAAATGCTGAATTCTTCTTAGATTGAACACTTATCTATGAAAAATTTATGTAAACAGGTATTTTTTTTTTATGTCAAGCTGAACAACTCGTTGGTTGTAGATAATAAAAGATGATCAATAAATTACATTTAGATTTCTTGCTGAGGAAACTTCCAGCTATTTTCAGCTTTTGCTATGCCTTGAAAATTTCATTCTTATTCATCGAGCTGTTCCACAAAAATCATAAGAAGGGTCCCGTAAAAAATTTAGAGATGGCGTATAACATTTGAATGAATAGTAGAACATCTAAAGATGCGCTTGTTGAAATGACTAGAGAGAGTAATTTATTAGTATTGTCAAAGCTTTACAGATGTATATAATTTATATATTTCATAGGAAAATTGACGATTAGATAGAGTAATGCAAAGAAAAAAAGATTAAAAATTCAACGTTCGTTGTCAATGATTAATCATTAAATGAATACTTCCAAACAAAATGTTTTGTTATATTTTATTTTCTAGTACATATTTTTCATCTATTTTTTTTTGGAGTACAATTGAAAACATTTGATTGTTGTCAATCCAAAATCAACTTTCTCTCGGTCATTTTTAATCTGAATATTTTTAGTTAAATTAACAATAGGCTTAATTCTTTCTAAATCATTTTGATCTGTACTTTTTCCATCTAATGGATCGAGAATTAATGCTTGTATTTGTTGTCCATAATGAAAATTACTAGATGAATATTTGAAATCTAAATGTATGATCGTATGATGATCAGCAAATTGAAATACATATGATAATAAAGGTTCTAATCTACACCACGCTCTTTCTGAATAATCAGACGTTTCAATTCTTAAAAAACGTTCACAACATGCTACCCATATTGGTAATAATGGTATAGCTGATGAGAGATCATATTGATCAATACAACAAAAATCAATCCAATAAAAAATTTCTGGAACAAAACTATGTTTTAATTGTACCCAATCTTGTCTCCATTTAGTAAATTCATTGATTGCTTTAGCTTTTTCATTATCAATTGAATCAGGATGAGAATCATTAGAATTAAGACGTGGTCGTAACCATCGATGACTAACCATAAATATTTCACATATTCCAGCACCATATTTATTAATACCTTCTAAAGCATCAACAGTTAAATTTTCTTTACTATGTGGAATTCGTTGAATTTCAGCAAGTGTTGACCAATGTATTAATCGCATTCGAGGACCATTCATTTCATTAGCAAGTTTAATCAATGGACGACGATCATAACTTTTAGCATAATCAGAAAAAGATTTATTTTTTAATAATTTTTTTACATTTTCCCATAGATCTTCCATTCAACTGTAGTATTTTCTTATATTACCGTCTGTATCTAAATAGAAAAACGTGCCTTTTTCATTGTAGAAAAAAAAAGAGAACTGAATGTGAGTATGATTATGCCTACGCATAGAAAGAAAAGAAAATTTAGTCATAAATACATCATTTTGTTTTTTGTTTTTTTCTACTCTCCTTGACTACTACGTCGATAATTAATATATTTTGGATTTATTTTTCTGTTGTTATTCTTACCGAACATACGAACTGATTCAGACTATATGACTAAGAAGAGGAGGTGGTGTAATTTTCACCTCCTACATTTTTTCTTGTTGTATGAATTTTTCTATGGAAATAGTTTATATTTTATCAAATTTTAACACCTTCACTAATTGGATCTAATAAATGCGAACGAAGTTTTAGTGCAG